CCCAACTACTTGGTCGTCTGAGGCAGGAGCATGGCCTGAGCCCAGGAGTTTGAAGTTCCAGTGAGCCCTGTGACAACACTGCACTCTAACCTCAGTGAAAAAATAAGACTCTGTCTCAACAACAATAATAAAAAAAAAAAGAAAAAAATGAAAAAACAAACCCTGAAAACAAGTATTGGCAAGAATATGGAGAAAATGGAACACTGTGCACAGTTGGTGGAAACATAAAATGTGCAGCCACTATGGAAAACAATATATGGAGGGGAGTAAAAAATTAGAAATAGAGGGTGGCGCCTGTGGCTCAAAGGAGTAGGATGCCGGCCCCATATGCTGGAGGTGGTAGGTTCAAACCCAGCCCTGGCCCAAAACTGCAAAATAAATAAATAAATAATTAATTAAAAATAGAATTACCATACAGTCCAATAATCTCACTTCTGGGTACATAGTGAAAATTCAAAACAGGATTTCAAAGAGATATTTGCACACCCATGTTGACATTAGCACTATTCACAACAACCAGGAGGTGGAAGCAACCCAAATGTCCATCAATGAATGAATAAAGAAAATGTGAGAGAGACATACAATGCAATATTATTGTAGCCTTTTTTTTTTTTTTCGGTAGAGACAGAGTCTCACTTTATTGTCCTCGGTAGAGTGCCATGGCGTCACAGCTCACAGCAATCTCCAACTCCTGGGCTTAGGCGATTATCTTGCCTCAGCCTCCCGAGTAGCTGGGACTACAGGTGCCTGCCACAACACTTGGCTATTTTTTTGTTGCAGTTTGGCCAGGGCCGGGTTTGAACCCGCCACCCTCAGTATATGGGGCTGGCGCCCTACCCACTGAGCCACAGGTGCTGCCCACTATTGTAGCCTTTTAAAAGATGGTGATTTTGTCTCATATTTTAACATGGATTAACCCTGAAGACATTATGCTAACTGAAATAAACCAGTCACAAAAGGACAAATGCTGCATTATTCCACTCATAAGAGGACTCTAACATAGTCAAAATCAGAAACAGTAGGGGTCAGCACTTGCAGCTTAGCAGCTAGGGTGCCAGTTACATATATTGAAGCTGGTGGGTTTGAACCCAGCCTGGGCCTGCCAAACAAAATGACAACTACACCCAAAAAACACCCAGCTGTTGTGGCGGGTGCCGGTAGTCCCAGCTACTTGGGAGGCTGAGGCAACAGAATGGATTAAGCCCAAGAGTTTGAGGTTGCTATGAACTGTGACGCCACAGCACTCTACTGAGGCAACATAGTGAGACTCTGTCTCAAAAAAAACCCAAAACCCCCGCCCAAAAAACCTGCACAGGGCCTATGGCTCAAACGAGTTGAGCACCGGCCCCACATGCCAGAGGTGGCAGGTTCAAACCCAGTCCCAGCCAAAAAAAAACTGGAAAAAAAAAAAGAAATAGTACAATATTAAGTAGATTTTGATAAGTTAAAGATTCGTGAGATTCATACTATAGCAACCATTAGAAATATAAAGAAGGTATAGCTAAAAAACAAAAACAAAAAATAGGAGAAACATGAGAACA